TTAAGAGAAATTCAGTTACACATTATTAAGCTACAACTAACAATTTTGGCTACAGCTAAAGCAAATAAACCAGTAACAATGCTTTGCTATTCAAGGTCAGTGAAAACGCAGCAAATAAACCACCTACAAAATACAAGTTTTTAAAGTTATAGGAACGTTACTGTCTTAACAAAGGAAGAGACACTTCAATGATTCTTTTATATGTGGTTTCATACATCAATGAAAAGAAATTGCTTAACAAGTAAAATAATGGGAAAAACACTGTTTTCCTAAGGCATAGAGATGCATATATAAGATATTTGTATGCATATAGGATACAAAGTATGTATTTATAATGTTGAGCCATCAGTGAAATTCCTTAATCAAAAGTCAAAGTGGAAGGAATATTAGTTGTAAATGTTAGCAACATTTACCTTAAATTCTGTTAAAACTTCACATTTTACAACTGTGTATCTATTTTCTTTTTAAACCAGAATGTATCAGCTCTGATCGAAATCTAAACTGGCATTTTTGCTCCAATTTATTTTGTGCAATGGATGTTCAGAATACTCATACTGATTGACTTCTAAAAATTATCTTTTATCAATGAATACTTCATGCTGTCCAATGCCTCTGTAGCTTTGCAGCCTCTGATGATATCAGTAGTTGCTTTTTGATAGTTCAGAAAATTAAAAAATTTCACTGAGCCTATTAATCCATTCATTCAGCTGAAGTGGGGAAATTGTATCGTGTCTTCTCTGTTTTTCCTCTGAGAACACACAAAAAGAAAGATCTCTACCTATAAAAAGCCCACATTTTCATAACTGCTATAGATCCATATAAGCTATATGAAATCATATATGCCTTAAGACTTTTAGTGCACTAATGCAGAAGAAAAAGATGTACAAGCATCAATAAATACCATCCTTCATTTTGCCATCTCCAAGTACTTAATAAGCTCTGTAAAGATAATGAAAATCTCTTTTTTATGAATCCAAATTTTAAAGGTATACTGTGATGTCTCTAGTCCTTCCATAACTGCAAGTAGTTACTGGTTCTCTCACAGAGCTGGAATTCTTTTTTGCACTTACTGCAGTGAGACCATGAGATTTTACATGTTTAGAAGAGCTACTTGTGATACATATTTAAATGAAACATATCTTGGAATATGGATTAATATACTTTATCTAGAAAAAATCCTTTATTTAAGAAAACAAGTTGATCTTAAAAATGGAAAACTTCTAAACTGTGCTTTTTGATAAAACTGCTGATTTCTCCAGATCTGCTAGTATAATTCAGAGTAAAAGCCTGACCTAGAGGACATAATACATCATAAATTAATTTACCAGAGAGATGATTCCTTCATTTTTTATTTAATCTCTAATTTTGTCAAGACTTTTCTGAAAAAGTGAAAAGGTCAAACATCTGATAATTTAACTTGTAACATGTTCTCCTTCATCACACTGTATCAGACTGAGCAACAATTTACTTAATTCATACTACTATTGATGTAATTAGTATATTATGTCCTCTGGATCAAATTTTGTCCTCATTTCCACCAATGACTCTAGACAGACTTAATGTTTCATTAAGGGCAGAATTTGGACCAGTTACCTATCTCTCCTTTTACATGTATTTAAGAAGAGAAAGGCATTTCAAAACTGTCTATCATGTGAAATTTTTGGAAGATATGTTTAAATATACTGTCCTTACCAATTCTTCTCATTTTGTATTTATGCACCAAAATCAGATAGTTACTTAGGTACAATCTAGACACACACTTAAGAGAGGAGAGATGACATTGTTTCTAAGTATTGCCTGCTGGAGATAATCAGTTAAAATACAGTTGAGTAGCCATGTGTGCTTTTTTTCAGGATTGAAGCCTCCAACTCTTTAGCTGCAGATCTTTATCATGGGACTGCAATGTCATCAATATATCATTTAAGAGTCATCCTACACAGAACTCTGAGTTACAGGCAGCCTAAACACTCGTCTTATTTTCTATGTATGATGTCCCCTTACTGAGTAGTTATAATACATTCCTCAGAACTTTTAATAACTCCTCCAAGCGCATGAAGACAGAAACAGTTCCCAGCTCAATCCCACATATACCCAGTGAGTAAAAGCCCTTGAGAGACACTAGCAAAGCCTCGCAACTCAGTATAGCCTCATCTGATTTAGAATCCAAACGTATTTCTCTTGAATAAGCTAAACAAGGGAAGAAATGGATTTACAACTTAAGAGTCTATCAGGCACTATGTTTTGAAATACAAATCAAGAGTCTTAAGGGCTCTAAAGCAGCTTGATAATGATGAAGGGTCACATAAACACACATGCACTCAATGGCAAATAATAATTCTTACAGAACTATGTTTACTCATGAAAATGAGATTAATGAAAAAATGTATTAACTAAAAAGAATGCCACGGATGATTTAAAAGTATAGTTTTCTTTGTAAAACCATACTAGGAGGAAAAAGACTTCAGGCAATTACACGCAGTGGACTAGTTAGAAAAAGAAAGTAGTCCATCTTACAAAAATCATACTGTTTAATCAGGCCATGAAAGCAATGGAAAGGGAGTAGCAGAACACTGCAAGCTGTCAAGTCAGATCTTTTAATTTCTGTAAGAGGCATATAGATCAAAGAAGGATTAGATTCTATCACAGTATCACACTGATGGCATACATACGAAGAAAGTACGGCATCTACACACACTGCCTCACTTTGGTGCTAAAATTTTAATTCTGTTTCACAATTTAAAGACAAGTACCAAAAATATCTCTTGGTTGATTACCAAAGTCTCCAAGTTAAATTACTGTCTTCCCTAGTGAGTTTGTCACACCTCAGTGAGGAACAAAAATATTTTGGGGGGTAAATTTCCTAATTCAAGGTGTCAACTAACCTCTTCCCGTACTTCTGCCACATCTACCTTCAGACAAACTATGCTTTGCTTTATGCGGAATAAATAAACCCATGCTTCTCCCATGTGTTCTGGGAATGCAATGTTTAGTGATACGTGGGAGGGAAAAGGAAGGGAACAAAGCAGTGCCTTGGTATACCAACAAAACCTAGACAGACAGGCTATAGCTTGCTGAAAGCCAAAACTAAGCTGCCCAGATGGGTGCTTAGCTCTGAGAGGCTGGATCCATCCCAGAGCTAGAGTAACACATGCCTAAGACTGCTGGAAAGTACTACTAGGGTATGTATGTACAACTTGAAAACAGAAACTGGTTTGAATTAAAGTTATGAACATATTTTAAACTGAAAGACAAAAAGGTTCAGAAGTTTTCCACTGTAATAAGAAACATAAATAGTTTAGCAGTGAGCAAAACAATGAGTTTTACAGCTTTTGCCTCCACAAAGTGTTTCAAAAGTGAAAACTTGAAAAATCCAAACAGCTGTGTAAGTAAAGTTATTTTTTTCATAACAGTTGAAAGGTAGTTATAGAATAGCTATCACAACTTTAGGCATCACTTCAGTCATTGGAGAGCCCAAAACATAAAGGACTTTAATTTTCAGTCAGATGTTCTATTCAGTTCACCACACATGAATCTTTTTAGCTTACAAGAACACAGAGCAAGACTGTATACTCCAAATGATTCAGCCTAGGAAGACATTGCTCCATCTTCTACAGTAGGGATGCACTGAGTCATGATCTGCACACTGAAGTTACCTGACAAACCAGAGCAAGGGTCTGAGCAAGCCACCTAACTAGAATAGGATACGCTTAATAGGGAACCAGAGTCTGGTAAACCTATCCCTATGGGACAGTTGCTACGAGAATTTCTCCCTATGAAAAAGACAGTAAGAAAACACAGTGATAAACAGCTAACCTCAGGAAGTTTGGAAGTTTATTTTGGATAGCTAGAACAGCATTTGAAAATTATGCTAACAAATTTTTCTCTATGTGATTTCCAGTATATTTTGTTTTGACTTGCATAATTAAAATGCTTAATACTTCTGTGTTGACTTTGTGGCTACAAAAGAGTAATGCAAACAGAGAAAGAGAGAACCAGACATTTCTGGTTTGGCTTGAAACGAGCCAAGTCAGACTGAATTCTCTTTTTATCTACATGTGTCTAGCTTCCAAACTTACAAAAGATGAAGCTGGTGCAGATTACATCATCATTTTTGTAAATTCAGCTTTGAATGATACAGTTGATTATGTAACTAAAGTAACGATATTTTTCTTTTATGGAAAGACTATGAATGTAAAAGCTTTCAGAGCTCCCCGATGTCATTAAAAAATTAATCCTGAAGCAAGTTCAGCATACAAACATGAATAACCAGGGACAATTATTTTACCTTGTTATGTCAACCATTCTCTTAAACAGTGAAATCAATATGTATGCAGCCATTAAGAACATTCAAATGTTTTCTTTTTTCTCACCTGTTTTAAGTATATGTTAAAAGACTTGCATAGGACAGTGCCAGTGAGTAACTCATAAAAGTTTGATGAGTAACTTCCTCTGTTCTCAGGAAAGACAAAAAAATCTGAACATTAAATAATCTCCCTACTCTGTAAAACTGCATTCAAAATACTGGATACTAGCGTGCTTTGCCCCCTCGGCTCATCCACTTCCTTACTTCTGTTATTTTTTGAAATAACAATACAATATACATCCTATACTTTAAGTCAAAGGAATTAAGTTTACTACTTTAGGATCTGCTCTAGCAAAGAATCTACAAATTTTGTCTTCATTTCCACTGCCTATTTTTGTGGCTCTGCTAGATAGCTCTACCTGCACAAATAGCTACACTAAGAACATTCCTCTATATTCAACTGTATTCCCCTTCAACACAAAATAGATAGGTTTCTTTGAATCCTCCATGGAGCGGATCAGCTTTACCATATTTGAAGACTGACCCCCTCCTCCCCTCTTGATCCCGGCAGTGCTTCTCACTCCATTGGGTTCAGTTGTGTATGACTGCTGGTAGATGCATTTGGAAAACATCTGTGACTGGACAAGTGAAGTTATTTTTTCTTTAAAACTGGTGATTTTTGCTGATGCTTGCTTACCTCATTGTCTGACTCCACAAGCACTTGATCATATTCACTAAGAGCTACTAGGAACATGATAGATGTGACGTTTTCAAAGCAATGTATCCATTTTCTTCTTTCTGATCGTTGGCCTCCTACATCCACCATTCTGCAAAATTAACATCCACATCAACTCCATGAATACCTTAACAGATAAACACACAAGCACACAATGACAAAATTCAAAAATACAGTTGAAAACACAGTTTGGTTTATTTTTCTTAATGATTTTTTCCATTGATATTTAATGGAATCTGTCATAAGTAGAGAGTTAATCATACTTGCTTTTAAGTATGATGTGCTTTCTGTATTTACATTATTGTGGGTCTCAAAATTCTCAGATTTCTGAGATACAAAGGTCTCATGAGCCATGATTCTTGAATACCTTGAATACTGTGTTTAGTTTTGGCCCCTCACTACAGGAAAAACATTGAGGTGCTGGGGTGTGTCTGAAGAAGAGCAACAAAGCTGGTGAAGGACCTAGAGGGTAAGTCTTATGAGGAGCAGCTGAGGGAGCTGGGGTTGTTTAGCCTGGAGAAAAGGAGGCTCCGGGGAGACCTTAGGGCCCTCTACAACTACCTGAAGGGAGGCTGTAGCAAGGAGGGTGTTGGTCTCTTCACCCAAGTAACAAGTGATACATATGGTCTACCTTGACTTCAGAAAGGCTTTGGACACTGTCTCCCATCAACATCTTCATAGCAAGGCTCAGGACGTGTGGGCTAGATGAGCAGATAGTGAGGTGGATTGAGAACTGGCTGAATGGCAGAGCCAAGAGGGTCACGCTCAGTGGTGCAGAGTCTAGTTGGGAGCCTGTAGCTAGCAGTGTTCCCCAGGGGTCAGTTCTGGGTCCAGTCTTGTTTAACCTATTCATCAATGACCTGGATGAAGGGACAGAGTGTACCCTCAGCAAGTTTGCTATTGATACGAAACTGGGAGGAGTGGCTGATACACTGGAAGGCTGTGCTGCCATTCAGCAAGACCTAGACAGGCTGGAGAGTTGGGCAGAGAGGAACTTGATGAAGTTCAATAAGGGCAAGTTCCTAGAGAGGAATAACCCCACGCACCAGTACAGGCTGTGGGTTGAGCTGCTGGAGAGCAGCCCAGCAGAGAAGGACCTGGGAGTCCTGGTGGACAACAAGTTGACCATGAGTGAGCAATGTGCCCTCATGGCCAAGGCGGCCAATGGTATCCTGGGGTGCATTAGGAAGAGTGTGGCCAGCAGGTCAAGGGACATTCTCCTCCCCCTCAACTCTGCCCTGGTGAGGCCACATCTGGAGTACTGTGTCCAGTTCTGGGCTCCTCAGTTCAAGAAAGACAAAGAACTACTAGAGAGAGTCCAGCGGAGGGCAATGAAGATGATGAGGGGACTAGAGCATCTCCTTTGTCAGGAAAGGCTGAGAGAACTGGGTCTGTTCAGCCTGGAGAAGACTGAGAGGAGATCTGATCAATACTTACAAATACCTTAAGGGTAGATGTCAAGAGGATGGAGCCAGACTCTTAACAAAGGTGCCCAGTGACAGGTTTAGGGGCAATGGGCACAAACTGAAACTCGGGGAGGTTTCATCTTAATATGCGGTAGAACTTCTGTACTTTGAGTGTGGCAGAGCACTGGAACAGGCTGCCCAGAGAGGTTGTGGAGTCTCCTTCTCTGGAGATATTCAAAACCCACCTGGATGTGTTCCTGTGCAACTTGCTGTAGGTGAACCTGCTTTGGCAGGGGGGTTGGACTAGGTGATCTCCAGAGGTCCCTTCCAACCCTGACCATTCTGTGATTCTGTGACAAGAGGAAACGGCCTCAAGTTGGGCCAGGGGAGGTTTACATGGGATATTAGGAAACATTTCTTCACTGAGCATTGGAACAGGCTGCCCAGGAAAGTGGCTGAGTCACCATTCCTGGAGGTATTTTAAAGAGCTGCAGATGTGGCACTTAGTGACATGGTTTAGTGATGGACTTGACAGGGCTACGTTAACGGTAGGACTCGATGATCTTAAAGGTCTTTTCCAACTTAAACAATCCTATGATTTGGCAATGTATGCCCTCTGTATTCAGCAGAAACAGATGTGAACAGAACAGATTTTGTGGTCTGCCTTTTCCCCCCAAAATTACCAGAGTCAAAATTCCGAACTTCTTAAAGCTGCCTCATTTTAAGAGGACATATAGCATACAATACGTATCTACTAAAATTTTTAATAGCCAAAATTAAAACTCAAATTTGCTCGCAGCGTATTCCCACTTCATCCCAGGTCTCAGTTGAACTAAACACAGGTGTATAAGTTGCACTTGCAATTCCATTAACGACTGTACTTGCACTCAAGCAGGGCAATTTCTCTCTAAAGGAGAACAATTTCTCTCTAAAAATCAACTACACAAGTGCTAACTTTGTATTCCATAATTTACAAGAATTACAAGGACACCTGATTGTATTTTCAGATTATTACTCATACTGAAACTTTGATATATGTATTATTGAAAAGATTAATTGCAGGTTTTCTATCAGTAATAACCACCTTCAGAAAAAGACAAATTTAATTGTCTTTCATCCTTTTAACATCTTTAACATCAGCTCCTTATTATATGTGGACAATTACATGAAAATATAATGACCTAACTCAAATTTTAAAAACATAGAATAATTGCTTTTTATGCACTTTCAATGAATATCCTATACATGGTATTACTAATGTAAAAGTAAACAAAAGAAACAAAGCAAGTGGGTATTAAAACTTTTTTTCTACCTGAAAATGACACTTTGTAAGTCGAATGGATATTCAATGATCCCTGTTGTTGGGACTCGAACTCTGAGCACATCTTGCTGAGTTGGCAGATAGGTGGAATCTGCTATGCGGTCCAAGTCGTTAAGATAGCTATAGATAGGGAGAAACAACAGGAATGCAAGACAGTGACGCCATCATCTCACTGAGGAAAAGAGAAAGGAAGACTTGGGAATGGAAACGGTCTGTAGGGTAGGAAGAAGTGCAACAGAAAATGAGCATTATTTGCATAAAAGAGGTGACAAAGTATAAAAATGTGCTCCATCCTCCTATACACTTTCATAGTTTCAGGTAAATTCTACAGAAGGGTAGCATAATTATTCTGGGTTTTTTCACCCAAGTTTGCTTGGCTTTCACATGTAAATTCACCAAAGATTCAAGGTTTTCAGTTACATAATTTCAGGCAATTTAGAGACCAGTATTATAAAATGCGTGAGAAATATAAAATGGCACAGTTTTATTTGTATATGTAACATATTTCTTGATATTCATTCTGCAGTGTCTACATAGACATGTGGCTAGAGAAACATGAATCTCCCAAGGAACAGCGAACTGCTACAGAATAGATCATTATCAGTTATGAAATGATAGGAGGATAAATGGTACTGTTTGGAGATTAAATAAAAAAAAAATTTTAAAAAAGGAAAACGCCACCCACTGACAAATTAAAAAACTCTCCGGATCTTGTTATCAGAAGGCAGCACTGATTATTTAGTGGGATCTCTGGCACCTGAAAGTCCTGCATTCACACTGAAACTTCTGATTAAGTTAACAAGAGCCTGTGTCGTGGTTTAACCCCAGCCAGCAACTAAGCACCACACATCTACTCACTCACTCCCACTCGCTCTCAGTGGGATGGGGAAGAAAACTGAAAAAAAGAAAGTAAAACTCATAGGCTGAGATAACAACAGTTTAATAACTGAAGTAAAATAAAATATAATACTCACAATAAGACTAATGAAATATATTAATACTAATAATTGCAGCGAAAAGGAATATAACAAAAAAGCCCCAAACCCAAAACATAAAAATCAAACCAAAAGCAAAACAAAAAACCCCCAAAACCAAAACCCACGAAGAAAAGTGATGCACAATGCAATTGCTCACTACCCACTGACCAATGCCTGAGCAGCGATCTGTGCCTCCCAGCCAACTCCCACCAGTTTATACACTAAGCACGATGTTCTATGGTGTGGAATATCCCTTTGGCTGGCTCAGGCCAGCTGTCCTGGCTGTGCTCCCTCCCAGCTTCTTGTGCACCTGCTTGCTGGCAGAGCATGGGAAACTGAAAAATCCTTAACAGGATAAATGCTACTTAGCAACAACTAAAACATCAGTGTGTTAACATTATTCTCACACCGAATCCAAAACACACTGTACCAGCTACTAACCAGAAAATTAACTCTATCCCAGCTGAAACCAGGACAGCTGGCAGTACCTAAAATACACCCCAGTCAGTTAGCAAAGAACCTGAAATTGCTATAAATTTGCTTGTAAAGGATCATTAACCACAACACAGAACTCTAGTGCTATTGCTTAACAGTGGGTTCCAACCATAATGTACCACTGTACTGGAGGTCTGAATTAATTCTCCTAAGACAAGCTTCAAAAAAGAGGTGTATCAATGTGTGTGTGAAAGCCTGTTTGGGTCCAGGAGCTGGACATCTCATGAAATCAGTGCACCTGGCAGCTTGGGGTCTCCCCATGGTAGATGCCTGGGAGACAGACTGCTGCAGGAGATGAAGTTCTTGGGCATCTGGTTACTTGCCAGCGTAAGAATGACCTAGAGTTAGCCACTGAAAAGATAAATTAACCTACGGATGCTCTCATTCATTCCAGGGGAGGAGAGCAATGGCCTTCTAATTTATTGAATGATGATGAAGTATCACTAAGCTCTGAACATGTTATTTTCCTTGTACTTATCAGTGAAGGTGCTCTTTTTAAATAAACCCACACAAGAAATAATTAGACTTCTTCTAGATGCTCTGAATGATTTCTTAATCAAATAGCAAGAGCAAGTTATCCTGAACAATGACAAAAACCAGAACAGTTTGATTTCTACCTTACAGCAAAAATACAGAAAAATTAATTTGGTCTGGGAAGGAGCCAAAAAATTATTGTATTTCCCTATGATTTTATTCATGAAAGAATCCGATAGTAAACTGAATGTGAGAAAGTTATACATGGTTAGAAAGACATATTGAACCATGTATCTCAGATAATTCAGAAGTTACTACTCTGAAAATTATTTTCTGAGAATGCTGATTAGTTTCTGCCAGTAAGAAAAAGGCTTGAGAGTCTGAACACTTCATTTGCCCGCAGGTGTCTTACACAAAAAGCAGAATGGACAAGCACATCATCCATTTGTTGGGAGGGCGGGGAAGAAAAGTTAAGTGAATGAAATCCATAACCCTGAGACAGAGACCCTGAACTAGCTTCTTTTTCACTCCTACCCTCAAAAAATTGGTTTTGGTTTTGTTTTGTGACTGTATTTTGGAAGGGTACAAAGAAGTACTGCAGGTCATTACATGCTACAGTGGTATTCATGTGAGCAGGAGAATTTTAACTGAGTAAATTAGCAGGTGGCCCATTTACACAATTGTCTTATTACATTCCTTTGGCAAGCTTCAGCTGTGGTCTCCAATGTGAGCCTAGTTACCACACCTCTGCATCATCAGCACAGTGGGCATGCTACCAAGGCATGCTGTAATGCACATCTGGCTGATTTTAGAAAGACAATAATGCCAAGGCGCATTATTAAATACTTAAATCTCACTTGTGTTACTGGAAACCATTAAAGGGACACTTCAAGTATTTTTTGTCCTAACACAAATCACTGATGTCATTAAGCTCCAGAAGCATTAATTTATCCTTAAAAAATAACTATATTTTCCTCATCCTCATTCCGTTCTGCTCAAGTTCTGCTCATTCAATTATTAAACAGCAACCCTCTCACTCATTTCATCCATAGCACCTTACAAAGCCTATACAGTTCACAGAAGAGTCCTTATGCATCCTTATGGAGTCCTATTTTTTCCCCTAGATTTCTTCACTTAACAGATCAAAGGATGTTGGGCTCTCTAAGAAGTGTCCTAAATTATACATTCAAACCCAGAATCAAGGAAGCAGTGTCAAAACCAGTAAGAGTCTCTCACAGGAAAAAAGAATCAGATAACATGCACAAAATCCTTTAACAAGAAATCTTTGTGATACTGACAAATCATAACTAGAATCTACAGTCCAACAAAAGCAATTTAGAATACATCTTGCATTTTTTGGTTTTGAATAATGACATTTAGCCCCTACCACTTTGCCTTCTAACTTAAAATTTAATAAACATATTATTGTATCCATTTGTTTAAATGAAAATGTCCCAGTTCTTTGTTATACAATCTTACTTTTAAATGTTTCATTATTGTTATTTTTATGCTGTAAGCATACAGCAGATAGTCAATGAAATGATTTTTAAGCAGGAAAAAAATAATTTTCTTTTAAGTTTTGATTTGGTTGGTTTGTTTAACAGAGACTTTCTACTAAAGAATTACTTGTGCTGGAATTCAGATTTTCATGAAGTTTTTGCACTGTTGCTCTGAAGCAAAGGCGTATTTTCTGCTACTGACTTCAACAGTTCTGCATGTCAGTTACACTTCCTGTTACCATATGAGGACATGGAACTTCACATTCTGCTATCAACTTCAAGGGGATTAAACATGTTTCTGAAAATCAGACTGAAAGCTTTTCCTGCAGCAGCAACACAAAGTTCCCTTCAAGATACTCCAAAATCACCGAAGACTCCTTACGTCTCTCTTAAAATTCATGTAAACTATAAAACAAAGTAACACAATTAATTAAAAAAATCTATTATCTTTGGGTTAGAACATGTATCATTGGAACTGACATCAGGGTCTTTCTTTTCCACTGTACCCACATGTGAAGATTTTTGATATATTGCAGAAACGATCCATCTCTCCACAGTAGGGTACGATCTTCCTAAAATGCCAGTGGGAGCAAATCGACATACTTACTCTAAACACATTATCATGACTTTTGCACTAATTGCATAACATTATACCTCTATGTCCATAGTACCACATAGACAAAACCCACGACACTTTCTCTTCTCCCAGTACAAGAACAGATTTTTGCACTGCACCAGGAGGGGTGAGGTGACAGTCTGATTTTTCTGAATAACTGATTGTTGGATTGACTCACTATTTAAAAATGCTGAGAGGGAATATGTAAATGAATACAAGTGACTATTTACATAAAAAGAAAAGACAACTGGAATACCAGTAATATTTAAAGACATACTACCAGCCCACACAATTTTCACATATTACTGTTATAGTTGTTCCTGTAACACTGAAAATGTAGAATTTCGTTTACATGGTTTATCATAGTTTAATTCACTGGTACAGTAAAATCTTGTATTTTCAAATCTTCCTCATACCAAAAGGGTTGAAATTTAACTTTTTTTTCCCCACATGAAAGCTGGCGTTTAAAGAAATTCTCTGATCACCAGAGAATAAAAAAAGACTGAAAGCATAGGCTTTAAGCATCCTACAGCTTATTAAACTAATAGTTTATTTATTTTTAAATTAATTTAGCAAGCAGCAACTTTAAATAAAAACATCAAAACGTGCTAACTAATGCCAATTGTTTTCCACCTTTAACTGTGCTGGCTCCAACCCTGCTCTAGCTGCACCTCTGCCCATCCCCAGCTGCCAGCTCTTTCACTTGTGCAATGGCTTGATAACACACTTCTGTCAAAATGATTTGGAATAGTGAAGAAACACGATTGAAATTGTTCAAATTAAGCTAGTTTATTTGATGGATGCAGCCTGGGGTGTGGGAAGTCCATAAGATCCAGCAGGAAAGCAGGGTGGAGTGACTTCCTCCACCGGCTTATCTGCAACCAGAAGAGGACTTACGAAGCCAGGGCTATGTCTCGAGTCTCTGAACTCAGATGGGTGAGGACTGAAAGAAAATGAAGATTTTTGTTGACTTTTTGTATATCTGCTTATTAAAAAAATGATTCACCATGGCTTTAAAGTACTTATCTAATGCAGCCCTGAACAAAGTACTGACAAATA